AGGCCAAGGCCGGCGCGGCAGGCGACGCGAAGGCGGGGCCGAATGACCCGGAACGTGGTACCGCGGCAGCACTCGTGCCGGAGAAGGACCGCCCGACTCACCGACTCCCCATCGGCCCCCTACCGTTCGCGCTTCCACTCGTGGGGAAGAAGGTCGACAGCATCATGTGGGCGCGCGACGAGATTACGGAAACGAACAACGGGCTCCGTGAGGGCCGTGCCGTCCTCAGGCGCGAGACAGACCTGGGCGAGCGTGGCGCGCGCTCGCCCGGGCGCGGAAAGCTTCACGGCGTTGCCGGGCTCGTGACGCGCGGCGGCAAACGCAGCGGGAGCTTCTCGTCGAAGCCTGACGAGCAGCGCTCCAGCCCCAATACTGACGGTGACACGGAACTGGCCACGGAGACGTACCCGCCGCTGAACAGCGCGTTCGTGCTGTTCCACAATCAGGCAGCAGCGCACATGGCAGCGCAGGTGCTCACGCATCACGCGCCGTACTGCATGTCCGAGAAGCACATTAACGTCGCGCCCGGGGATGTCATCTGGGGCAACCTCGGGCTGAACCCGTACGAGAAGAAGGTGCGCCTCCTCGTGAGCTACGCGGCGACGGCGGGCCTTATCATCCTCTGGGCGTTCCCCGGTAAGTGCTCTATGGACATTTCTTCTTCGCGTTGAAGCTGAGATTTAATCGCAGTTGCGTTTGTCGGTGCCGTCTCGAACGTCGCGACACTGTGCACCACGTACAGCTGGCTCGCGTGGATCTGCACGCTCCCACCCATCGTAATCGGCATCATCCAGGGTATCCTGCCGCCAGTCCTCCTTTCCGTGCTCATGATGTTGCTCCCGATCGTCCTGCGTCTGCTCGCGAAGTTCGAGGGCATCCCGCGCCGCACCGGCGTTGAACTCAGCCTCATGACGCGCTACTTCATCTTCCAGATCATCCACTCGTTCCTGATTGTGACGCTCGCTTCGGGCATCATCGCGGCGCTCCCCGGCCTTGTCTCTGACCCCACCGAGATCCCGAGCCTACTCGCGTCGAACCTCCCGCAGGCGTCGAACTTCTTCTTGACGTGAGTGCATCGTTAGTTCTTTCTTGTCTTACGCGACGCGTATTAATTCTTTCTGTTAGCTACGTCGTCCTCCAGGGTCTTTCCGGCGCCGCGGCGGGCTTCCTGCAGATTGTCCCTCTTATTATCTATTATGTGAAGCTCTTCCTCATGGGAAGCACGCCGCGATCAGTGTATAGTATAAAGTACACGCTGCGCAATGTTTCATGGGGCACACTCTTCCCTGCGACTACGCTTATCACCGTCATTAGTGAGTCTGTTCATTCAATATACATCAGTATTTTCTGACTCCCCCTTCAGCTATCACGTACTCCGTCATCTCGCCGATCATAAACGGGCTCGCGTTCTTCACGTTCCTCCTCTTCTATCTGCTGTACAAGTATCTCTTCCTCTACCAGTTCGATCAGCCTGCGGCCGGCGACACGGGCGGGCTCTTCTTCCCAAAGGCTATCCAGCACGTCTTCGTCGGGATGTACATCCAGCAGATTTGCCTCGCGGCGCTCTTCTTCCTCGCGCGCGATGAGAACTCGAAAGCGGGTGCGCTGCCCGAAGGCATTCTCATGATCATCCTCATCGTTGCGACGGCGATCTTCCACATGGTAATCAACAACTCGTACGACCCGATCCTGCAGTACCTCCCGCTCTCATTGGCGGACAAGGCGCACGGGATCGCTCTGCGCACGGAGGACGCGCCGGCAGCCGGCCGCTCGAGCGGCGCATCGGCCTCCCCGCGCACGCGTGCGGACTCGGCGCACAGCTCGTACTCCCAGCGTAAGCCCGTGGCAAGCTCGAGCGCGAAGGTGTCACTCGAGGGCGAGGGCGACGTGGACCTTGAAAAGAGTGAGCGCACGGGGCTCGTGGACACTGCAGAGGACGCGAACGGGGAGGGGCCGGAGGACTTCTACCACCCCGCGAGCGTGGAGTCGCTGCGGCCGGTGTGGATCCCGCAGGATGCGCTGGGGCTCGCGCGCACAGAGGAAGAGGACAACGCGGTGCGCGGTATCGAGGCGTCGTCGGCGCATGCGTTCATGGACGAGAAGGGGCATGTCGACGTCGACGGACACCCACCCGGCACGGACGAGCTCAAACTGTGATTTGATCCCCTCCTTCTTTTTTCTTTTTCTTTTTTTCTGTTTTTATCCGCTACTCCGCCTACCCGTCACCCACACCCACACGCATCCTCGCGATTCGCAATATTCCCCATTCTCCTTTCAATCTGTGCAATTTTTTCATCGACCGTACACTTCGCTCGTCTGTTCACGATCCTTATCTCTCGTCTTGCCTGTTCCCATTCTCCACATAAAACCATTATAGCCTACTATCTTCTCGAGAGCTGTGATTTGGATAAACCTCTCGATTGTGTTGTACGATAAAGTTCAAGTAACTTCGAAGACTAGTTATTGTTTTTCCATATACCCGCTGCATTGCTTTGAATAGCATTCCATATGACTTGTGACGCTCGGTGACGTCAGCAAGGATCGGCGTCTGATCGGACTCGTCAGCTTTCTGCTCTTTTTATTCTCTCACCAAACCACCACCTACGGATGCATGTACCACACCGCTCGCAGCAGTCTATGCACCAGCCTAACCCGTAGAACGCTTGTCTCAACGCGCCCGCACCCCATTCCCCGCCAGACGCGGCGGTTCTCGAGCCAAGGACCTAGTCCAGTGCAAGGTTTGCACGACGACCCGGCGCACGACGATGACGACACGCAGGCGGGCGAGCGCCTTGCTCGGCTGAAGCACCCCGCACGCGGCGGCCAGAACCTGTCGAGCCGCTATGAGCGCCTCGAGCGCTCTCTGCGCGGGAAGGAGGAGTACCGCCGGGACATCGAGGCGTACGCGCCGCGCGACGCGAGCACACCGGAGGAGGCGGCACCGGCCGCGCGGAAAACGAGAGCGGCGCCGCGCATGTTTGCGGGCTTCGTGCTGCCCGAGGAGCCACAGCCGCCGCAGCCGGACGGTGTGTCCTTCCTCTCGTGTTATGAATTGTTTATGTTGAATACATTACTTACGCTCGTTGGGCGCTGCAGAGTGCTGCATGTCCGGCTGCGCCGTGTGCGTGCACGACCTGTACGCGGAGTCGCTCGCGGCGTACGACGCCGCCGTCGCCGAGCTGCGCGTCGCGCTCGCGGGCGCCCACGTCCCCGAGGCCGCGTGGCCCGCGGAGATCAGGGTGGAGAAGGAGCGCAAGAAGGACGCGGTGCTGAGCGCGTTCGAGCAGATGGAGCTGCAGCTGGCCGCGCGGCGTGAAGCGGGTGGGTAGCGTCTGACGATTATATATCATTTGTCCTGGCCTTCCTGTGGTTTCGGCCTGGGAGAAATATAGAAGACTGATTCCTTTTTTCCTTTCTTTGTTTGTTTCTGAAGCTACCCGCTTGGAGGCACATCAGACTGCTGCAATTAGTGCGAAGACCGGCGCGCGTAGTAGCTCGAACTCCAAACCACGAGCGAGATTCAATACGAGTGAAGTACTTGAGGCATTGTCGTGGATGCTCTTCAGCCGGCGATGAAGTAACTCATATTCTTCCTCGTGTCAACAGCATACCACTAACTTCGTTTTGACAGTTGAGGACGTAAATTTCACAATCAATAAAGCATACTAAAACAAAATTCAAAATTCTCTTCCTCGAGCTATCGGAGAACTTGCTTTCAGAAATTTTCGCGATGTGGTTACATACTTGAAACTCAACTCAAATACGGAAAAACAGTCCTGTAAACTCATACTAGACCCTTGAACGGATGGGTTTAGAGGACGTTAAACTCAAATATCTTGCGATTATGGTTTGCACAGCTGGATATAGTGAAAAGCGAGCTGAAAGAGTCCACCTGTTCTAGCTCTGCCATCGTCCCAGAACAGCGCCTTTGATCGCGAAGCACTACAAGTAGAAACCTCGGTTCGTGGGCGCGCACTCTCTGGCTCGGACTGTGGAAGTAATAGCAGTTCGGGCTTCAGCAATATCGCCCCCTCCGTGTAAAGATACAAAAGGGAGCTCTCTCCAGAGTATCGTTAAGCCAGTAAGCAGGAAAAGGGCGGGATACAACTCCTGGACATGCGTGACTACGTATTCCCTTTTTTTGTTCGCAAATTTTGAGGGTGTGGCATATGACATGATATTCAATGGTGTAGCTACCCCTCCGTGTGTCGGGTATGCGCCGGATGGAAATTCTGGACAGCGATGTGGGACTCGCACAGCGACTGACGCATGAATCCGTCATGTGTCAGTGCTCGCACTTTTGTTAGAGCACACCACAAACAAACATATGAAAAATGTTGTTGCCAGCGTCGTGAGAGGCTACACTCCGTCGTTGTCGCCTTCAGTCTCTAAGGGATACAGTTTCCTAAGCCTCCTTTAGACACCATCTTGGACACCCCACCTTTCTCTTTCATTTCTTGGTAGTTTGTCTTGAAATTTTCTGTAACTTCAACATACATTCAGGCATGAATACTTTACCTGTATACAATCTCTTGAGAAGAAAAATGGATCTGCCCATCCTTGAGAGTCAAAAGTGTACCAAACTTGGCATTTTTTAAGTATCGTGGAGTTGAGATTTGTGGTCCCTAATCTTTTTCGTGCCTCTTTTTCTTGATAAAACTACTAATAACTAGGGCATAGTCTACACTTAATTTGTCAAATTACAAAGTGTGCACACTCTTTTGCCTCCCCTCACTATTGGCGTGTTTGTGATGGGGTGTCTAAACGACCTGTGTCTGTTCCTTGCTTTCGTAAATCATTTGTTTTATTTTTTCCGCTGTGTGAAATCCGTAGATTACTTCGGAGTGCCTTTAGTATACCTAAGATTCATTGTGTAATTTTAGTTTAATAAGAAAGGGCTATGTACTGCAAAACAAAAAGGAAATTTTCGATTGGGTGTCTAAAGGAGGCATGGTACCCTGTACACTTGATGAATAAAAACTCTCAGAGCAAATATATAAGGGCATATGGTGTAGTTGGTTTATCACGCTCGCTTAGCATGTGTGGATACTTGCCTAGCTTGCGAGAGGTGTCCGGTTCAATTCCGGATATGTCCATTTTGTGGATCAATTTGACTATGATCATTATTTTTCTCTATCTTTGCAACTAACGTGAAGAGTGGAATATCGAGATAGCATCTTCAGTTTGTATTCCTTTAGAAATAGATACTTTCCCCTGGAGCTCATGTGTAGCAGTAATGGCAGCCGTGGGTCAGATTGAAATGAAATGAGCAATCGGACTTGGTCAATATACAAACCTCGCAAACATCACTCAGCTCTGACCCTTCGGATCTTTGACGTTCATAAAGTGCGAGGCATACTCTTCATAAGGTCAACTAGGGTCGAAATATCAATACAAAATTATGTGAGGTATGTGCAAGCTACGTATGAATGCCCCCCAGCAAGCATCAGTACCGCCAGAAATCTGAGGTCAGCTGTAATTAGCTAGATTACATATAGCTCGAAAAAGTGAAGGGGTCAGTGTATAGTGGAATGATACAGGGGCAGTAAATGTGTCGTGTCTATAGGACATACTTACGCAGTACGCAGTGGGTGTATTAAGGGCATGGGCGGGCATGAGTCGGCGTTATGGTTGTGAGTGCGGTTCGAGTGGTGCATCACTTGCATGCTGAGTCGAGTGGCCTGAGTACTGCGAGTAATGCGAGCTGACCGTCGTCGAGCTCCCAGGGCGGTTTTTGACCAACTACGCAGAAAGGCATCGTGTCAGTTATCAATTTAGTCGCACAAGCAAACAAAGAGCATACCCCGCCGATAGGCCTCGAGTAATCTTCGTGGTCACGCAAGCCGATCGAGCTTGCGCTCGCCTGCCCGCTGTGTATCTCTCGGAGGCGCGTCATCAAGCGCGGGTCGAGCAAGCCGTCCGACAGGCCCTCTAGGCTGTCCGTCGTGAGCATGGGGGACGGCGTGCCCTGTATAATGGACAAAGCAGACCCGGGCCCCAACGGCCGCATCATAGCCGACGGCGCGATCGGCGGCGGGAAGTACGCAATGGGACCTGGCGAGTGCGACCGCAGGAGCGACGACGGCTGGCGGGTCGCGGGGAAGACGGGCGAGGGCGGCTTCACAGCCAGGGCCGGCGCGGCGCCCAAGGTTAGGCCGAATCGTACGGCCGGAGAAGGCGATGGGGCGCTCGCGGACGGGACGGGTCGCACAGGCTTCAGGATGGACACCCGCCGCCGCTCAGGGGACTTCGACTTCGCCCTGGGCGGCTCTCCGCGGAACGGATCGTCGTCCGCGCCCGGCGGCGGAGACGAGGCCGACGCGCGGCGCAGCCGCGTGCGAACATTCGTCCGCGCCCGCGACGCCGCGCGCACGAGGAACCCCGCGCCGTCGCTGTTCTTCCTGCTCGGTCTCATGTGGCTCGCCTTCGAGCCGCTGTGGCTGCCGCTGCTCCCTGTCCCGGAACTGTATCCGACCTCGTTCTCGCCCGACGCCGTCGCGCTGCCGTGCCCTTGCGAGGATGACGTCACCGGAAGAGTGTTACCATCGCGTCCGTGACTAACCGGTGAGACTTCCGTGGACGAACGTGAACGGACGCGGCCAAAGGTGCCCGTATCGCTTGCTGTTGCCGACGCGGGGGACGACAAATCCGCTTCTGGCCCCTTTTCTCTCTCCTTCCCCTTCTCGCCGGAAGTCCAAGCGCTGGGAGGCGGGGGTTTACTGCCCACGTCGACAGAGCCGGACGCATTCCGGGCGAGGGTGAGCTTCTGTTTGCCCCTGCTTGCCTCAGGTGGACCGTCTCTTGCCAGGAGCACTGAGGGGTGAAGATCGAGTAGCGGGCTCGTCGAGCGCTCCCTGCCACCAGAAGAGGGCGAGTCCGGCTCAATGCTCAGGGAATTGCGTAGCGGAGACTGCGAAGGGCCCGGGGTAGAATGAGTAATACCCGACAAAGACGACCGACGCCGCGAGTGCACGAGCTTCGGCAGCTGAGCAGCATCTACCAGACCCGCGGCCTCCAGTAGCCCTATGCCCCTCTCCGTCGCAGCATCACCCTCCAATATCGCTCCGCCATGATCTTGCATATCGTCCCCGCCCCTCATCCTCTCTGCCGGCGCATCAGGCGTGTCCGTCGGCACAAGCCATCCCGGGAGCACTCTGAGACCCGCTCCTGCCTCCCTCATCTCGTCACCCGGGCCTGGGCCCAGATTATGCGGTGACTCCAGATCGGCATCCTCGTCGTGAAGCGGCGAGGTGCGTATCGGGACGCTCGAGCTGTTGCTCCTATCTCTGCCCAGTGCATACCCGAAGCCTCCTAGCCCTAGTCCTGCCCCAAGCGAGCGCATTCCCGACCTTGCTCCATGTTCTGCTCCCGAAAGACGACCTCCGCCGCCGCCGCCACCACCAATCGCGTAGCGCAGGCTGCGGTGCATGTTGCGCCGCAGCCGCCTGCGATAGGCAAAGAAGACCCAGAGCGCAACAGCAGAAACTGCAAGGACAGAAACGAGAACGACTCCAGCGACAGTCCCCTTAGACAAAGACCTAGCAGAGAACAAGGGTCAGACGCGCGTCATATAACTTGCTCGAAAAAAGAAAAAATTGAAAATGAAGATATGCACTTACGTGTGGTTTCCATCGCCCCCGGTATTCAAACTTCCACTTGGAACGACGACAACCGAAGTGAACGTCGTCGATTGACCAGACACAGTCGTGACAAACGTCGACGTCACGGTCGCCATCTCCGTCGTAGAGGACGAACCTTCCCAACGGGAATGCGTTGGGTGTGTGGACGAAAACGAAGTCATAGTCGAGGCCGGACTCGAACTCCAAAACCCACCTGTGAGCGTTTCATAATTGGTTGTTGCTGTGGTTGTTGCTGTGGTCGAAACAGGGAAAGTCTGAGTGCTCGACCCTGTATCCGTACCCGAAGTCGTAGACGTAGTGGACGACAATTGCGAAGTTGTATTCGTGCTCCCGTTTCCTGACACTGTTGATGTGCTGTTACCTGACACTGTTGATGTGCTGTTACCTGACACTGTTGATGTGCTGTTACCTGATGCAGTTGATGTCAGGGCGGTAGTAGATGTGAAGGTCATGCTCGAAGACGAAGACGGCTCGGAGGAAGATCCAGACGATGTTTCTGTCGCGGTAGAAGACGTGCCGGTGGAGGTGGATCCCGGTGAGGATGATGATGCCGAGGAAGTAGAAGAGAGGGATGGGAGAGAAAAAGAAGGCGTGGATATCGGAAGCGAGGACGAGGAAGTCGTATGAGATGTCTCAGGCGATGTGGTGCTTGTGGAAGACGGAGCTGAAGAGGACGGAGCTGAAGAGGACGGAGCTGAAGAGGACGGAGCTGAAGAGGACGAAGTTGAAGAGAACGGAGCTGAAGAGGACGAAGCCGAAGAGGACGAGGGTGGTGCTGAATTTGAGGCTGAAGTTGAAGAGCTCGTCGAGGAAGTAGAGGTTGATTCAGCTGTCGAGGAAGACTGTGGCAAAGATAAACTCTGCGAAGACGTTGGTAATAGTCCAGTCGTCGGGAGACTCAGGGACGTGGGGAATGATGATGGAATCTGGCGACGCGAATATAGAAACGGGCTTGAAGAACTGGATAGTGTCTGACTAGAGAGTGTAAAGGAAGTAGGACCGGATGAAGAAACCAAATTGGAGAGCGTAGGTGCACTGAACGAAAACCGTGCCTCTACATGGCCCAAAGCCGTGCCATGCTCCTTTGTCGTGTCTGTGCGACTGTCCGCATGCGGAGCCGTAGCGGACGGGGTATTTTGAACCGTAGATTCGAGGGCGTTAGAGATGCCGCTGCAGGTGAATTCATCAGTACTTCTGTGCGAGATAAATGCATCAGGAAAAGAAGAAATGTGGCCAAAATATTGGAACGAGACACAGGGGTCGATATAATTGCCGGGAGCCGTTAAGCATATAGACTTGATGGCTTGGCTACCCTGACCACCCATCCCCTATCCACCAAATCGAAAGCTTCCTTCAAAGCCGAGCGGACGGACAAGAAAGACAAAATAAGAAAAGGCTCACAAAACAATTCCATCCAGACGCGATCCACGCAGATCTGCATTGTGGACGACTCGTCCGGGCGTTGACGTATTTATCGTGTATGTTGAGAATGCCGCAAACGACGTCCGAGACGGGGGTATCATGAACAGCGTGGGCTGAGAAGCAAGAAGGGGGACGAGCGCAAAGCGTCTAAACGTGCGCGAGAGGCGATGGCGCGCTGCACTTGAAGTAAACGCGTTGATGTATTGGTTATGTTAAAGAAAACGCGCCGGCGACTGCTGTAATACAATATTACAGTAGCGTCGGATTCCAGTGAAACAACACGTGCAGATCGTGATAAAAGCGGGCAGATTGAGTGCTGCCAGAGCAGTGATGTTTGGCAAGTAAAGACGGGTTGGCCTGGGCCAGCACAGGCTATACGATACGTGAACGAGCGAGGTCGTCGCCGTCGGGAGGAACGAGCACAGTCCGCTGGCCACTAGATGCGACTTCGGCAACGAAAGCGGTTAAGACCTGCTCTTTGTCGATGATGGAGTTGATGTCGGCCACGCTGCGCAAGAATGAAGATGACGGCGACGGAAGGGAGGCCCGCATCGAGGAGCTAAATGCCTGATAATAATTGTCGCGGCTAAACCGAACAGTGGAGCCTGCCGATGTGCGCAAGCTCCGAAGGCGCGACGCGTCGCTCGCTGTCTTCTACAACGAGCACGATGGCAGTGGCAACAACAACGACGACGGCGACGACGGCGACGACGACGAGGAGACAAACGCGGTAGCTGTGGGAGCTGGTAGAGTTCTGCTTACCTTTGAACAAAAACAGACTTTCTTGTGTTCGCGCCGAATGAAAAAAAAGCGGAGGCCCAAGTTAGAAGCGCTAATCTCGCTTTGCCTTTTACGGTATGACTTTCGGTTCTTGTCGCCACCCGCACAGCAAGTCGATTCTTCTTTCCAATCTTCCCAATGCAAAATCTCCTTCTTCCCTTCTCTACTCTACATCTAAACGTCGTACCTTGCAAGCTTACACGCTTCGATGAACGTACTCTCCCATATCACACTTCTTGGCTCACATCAGATGG